ATAGAGCAAAAATACATGAGTATCTTATTTACATAATTTCTAGATTATGAGGTGAAAGTCACTTGTGCCTTTTTTAACAGTTCACACTCTGTGTTGAAATAGGCCTAAAGTAAAATGCCTAGATTGGCCCTGCAAAATAGACACAGAATATATGTCCTCAAATTAAGACACATAAGTAATATTGAATTTTGTAGCAGCCACATTTGAAAATAGTATGAAGTGATGGAATTAACATTAGTACTATACTTTCTCTAACCCAATATACCTAAAATATTATTCTAACATGCCAATGGAATAAAACATTTTTATGTATTTTACATTCACTTTTTGTACTTTCTTCAAAATCCAGGTAGGAAAAGAGACATGATTTGCAGAGCAAGTTTAGGCCAAGTAAAAGTAGGAAATGAAGTACACTCTACAGTGTGAAAGAGAACTACTGTGGGAGAACACAGTAGTGGAGAGCTCAGTGGTGATTGTCCTTTTGCATCTCCCACTCCTTAGGCTGACTTCAGGTCTAGGCCATCCTATCTAAAAACTCTGGAGTTCTTGGGTAAAGCCCACAAACAGGACTTTGGAAACTGTTCTTGGAATGTGTTCTTGAATTTTGCAATTAACAGGTGATGCCACTTTCCCAGCTAGCCTCCCACACCCTAATCTCCTGCCTCAAGTTTAGCTACATTTTAAATTGTCACTGGCTACAAGATCTTTGTTACTGTATCACACAGGGTAGTTTTCTAGATGATCATTTCTGACTGTCAGAACCTACTTCATAACTACCTATTATTTCCTCTGTGCCATGGGCTTTTGCCCTGACAAATATTTCCTATTTATTATTCATATATTCCATATTTAATAAATATTTGTTAGCAGCTAAATATGATGCTAAGTTCTATGGATGTTGCAGTGAATAAAAATAACAAAAATTCTTACCCTTATGGAGTTTCTATTCTAGTAGGTATCATTATCTGGGACAATCTCAGAATCTAAGTTATACTGTTAGCGCTTTTCTCTATTTTATTAGGCAGTTTTCACAGATATGCATATGCTACATTTTCCTTCTGGAAACAGAACTTGTCTTTAATTTGAATAATTCCATATATTAAAACCTGATAAGTATTCTTTCCATTCCACATTACTATGAATTAAAATAGAGCTGTTACAGATGGCATTTTAAGGAGAAGAGCAAAAGGGAGTCAGAAGGAAGTAAGGCCTATTGCCCAAAACTCTGAAATTCTAATACTGATTAACATCTTTAGTGTATTGTTATTTATCTTCTCTTTATTAAAAATTTTGTTCAAGAAAATGTGGGAAAAGTTCTTCCTTTGGAAAAGGAATATTCATTTC